TACTTTTTTTTTTTTTTTTTCTCATCTAAGCGCTGTAACCAGTGTTATGAGTTTATATCAGAACTTAAGCTTCATGTATTTTTACTAAAGGGTTCTATACAAATATAATAGTGTGAAAATTTGTCTTATTTCACTTGGGATTTTAATTAAAAATCACTTGGAATCCTCATCTTACTTGGAATCATAAATCCAGGCCCGGCTTCAGATTTTTAGCCCCCTAAGTGAAGATTATAATTGGCGCAAATTAAGTAAATTAATAATTCAATGTACACCTTTAGTTATCACTTAAAAGAATTACTTAGCTAAAAAACGATCTCCCAAAATTGAGGCCTTAGGCAGTTGCTTGATCGCCAGGGCCTGATATATACAGACTCATTATCCGGTTTGAAAGCACTAACAAATGCTGATATTTTCATTGATTGAGTGTGATATAACACTGATATTTTCGTCTCATATATAAAAGATTTCCTTGTCAAAATTGAGAAAATACATGAAGTGAAAATTAACTGGATGAAAGCCCATACTGGTGTTATAAGCAATGAGGGGGCCGACATGCTGGCCAAAGAGACTGTTTTGTATAATACCGATGATGCGTTTGATATTCATACATCAAAAAGAATTGTTATTGATAAAATCAAGGATTTCTATTTTGATTGGTAGAAAGAGAAAGAAACATTTCGGGGAAAAGGAAAGATTAAAAAAACATTTTTTTTTTAACTTTGAAGTTTCTAAAAATATGAGAATGATATATGATTTTGATTGCAATCAAATAATTACTGGACACGGGCGCTTCTCGGAATACCTGAAAAGATTTAACCTGCAAAATAATAGCCTTTGTAATTTTTCTTGTGCTGAAGGCATTGCACGACATTTCGTCGAAGACTACGTATTATTGCGAAATGTTAGGGAAAAACGTGGTATCATAAAGGAATTCTATTGCCTCAGGAAAGAGTTTAGATTTGCAAAGGATTTGGTGAACTGTATCAGTGGCAACAGAATAATATTGGGAATTTTAATTTGATGTTTTTAACTGTATTTTTGTTTTAATCTGTGTTGAGTATACTGTGTTAACCATAAGGCCTATTATTATCGGCCAGGAGGGTTGCAGCACACTCGTATATTATATTACATTACTAGAATCATATATAACGCATTCATTTTACTGTTACATGATAACTGTTTCAAATGTAGATGTATGTAATGTATTGTTCGAAACCAAAAAGGTCTTCTCTAATATATTGTGAAAAAACGGTCTCCTCATCAACAGCTTATGAAGCTGTCCTTCGTTCTGTACCTTTCTCGTACCTCTCGTAACAGATGCCTTGCTGTTATTTGATTTGAACACAACCTTGTTGTTGGATGTTCAAGAGGATTCATTTCTTTTCTTCCGCTTGAATTTCCAATACATTAAATGAAACTTAGAAACTTCTAAAAATTTCGTCATTTTGTTTATAAGGTATTTCTCCCACCTTCTTGGCATGCCTTCGTGATGTGGTGGTCTGCAAGCTGGGCGAGCATTCCAGAGGTCCGTGGTTCGATTCCCGGCGAAGGCGTTGCATATTTTTCATCTGTCCTGCTTCCAAAATACCTAATATTTCTACAAGTTACTACTAATAAGGTTGCATAACATCGCTTTCCTTACGCCCGGGGATGACAATATCCAATCACAATTTTTAAGATATTCTTAAGAAATTATTTCATTTATCAACGTTAAATAATTAATTTTAATAAAATTTTTATTAACTACACTTTTATTACATTAACAGGAAAAATTAAAGGAACAACTATAAAAAGTCATGTAACATTAATCATTTGGCAGCTGAGAACATGGAACATGTATATAATTCTTATCTTTCCGTGCCTGACAAATCTTCAAAATACAGTATTACGTATTACTCTCCAAAATAATTCATTTAAATAAGAATACAGGAAATATGATATTATATGGGGTACAGGAAATTATGGGTCACCCCTGACCTAATGCAAGTTTTACAGCAGTTTTCCATGCTGTGGTATTAATTTTTTTAGAAGTTTCCTGCTGTAATAAAATACCTTACACTGACTAGCGCTTTTTTAGCTCCTGGAGGAGTGCTAGGTGGGTGCTGCAATGATATCCACACGTATGTTATAGGATTTAAATCCAGAGAATAAGCGAGCCATTCCGTCCACTGGATTTCTGCGCACTCAGAGTAAATTTTCGCAAATACAGTGTGATGAAAGCGAGCATTGTCATCCTTTAGAGAAGCTGTTACCTTCTACACCTCTAAATAAATTGACATACAAATTAAAAACCTTATCTCTGTACATTTCAGCGTTCATAGTTGCATTGGTAAAATTGTGTAGGCCAGTGCAGTCATTCAAAACGATGCTCCTATTGTAAGTCGATGCAGCCCCTACCATGATTTCACCACCTGTATATTGATGACTACTGACCTTTTCAGCCTTTCTGCAAGTGTTTTGCTTCCGTTAGATTGTCAAATACAACGAGTCATTTACGGTATATGTATGGATAGCCTAATTTCTAGAGATACAACGAACACTTTTGCAATCTGGGCTGATATAAGTTGTCCATTTCTTTTAATAGTCTTTGCCAAATAAAGGTACTGAGGGTCTGTTGTAGCACTTTTTAGACCTTGATTTGATTGTCTTAATATACTAACCACCAATATCTTTAAACTTTTTCCAGATTCCTTGATATGAGACGTTTAGCTATTAGACAGACCTATGTCAGTGTCTGTCTTGCTTCCATTCTCACAATCGCCCTTCAGAATCTAACAGATGCTTTCTCAACTACATGTGCAATACTTGAAATGCTGTACAATCCTTGAAATCAGCACCCTACTGAATTCTTTTCCACACGTGCGGAAAGAACGAGCTAAAAATATCAGCATATATCTGTGTAGCGATGAACTATGTGATAACATCGACCTAGAGCTAACCAATCACCTACATTTTATTGGACTTCACTTGATAGAATTAACATAAAATAGCTTTTTATAGTTTCCCCTTTAATTTTTCCAGTTTGCGTATTTTTGTAAGTGAATTCTTGCGATGAGTAACGAAGATTCTGATTTTTAATCACAAAAACCGTGTAATATTAAGAACATTGAAATCATGATCGGTTATCTTTTGAATTGAAATCAGAGCTACAGATACAGGCTATTTGAACACTGCAGATTGTCACTTCAAAATACGAATGGTTATCAAATAAGTTATTTTTAAAAGAATCGATGTCTTTATTTTACAGAAAGACATCAATTCTTTTACATTAATTTCAGATTTATCTAAAATTTTCTAAATAATTTTTTCTCTCTCGCATTCTTTCCATATATAAAATTAATAAACAAGCAGGCACAAGTAATACATTGATGTCATCTAAAAATAAACTTTTTACCCATTTATTTTCATTGCAGAAAATAAAACTTCTACTCGGGAGTAACAAATATTAATAATTGAAAGCCCCTTAGCAAATGTATAGTTATTCGACATATATTTTGCTTTTTTCACTAATCAAACTTCCTTCAGTATAATGAGAAAACTTAATGTTTGAAATATATTACAACTTAACATTTGTTTAGTTTTTAAATGGATAAAAAATGTGAAGTATTACACGAATAGTAACAAATAAACATAATTGAACTTCTTTTTAATTTTAACAAAATTGTCATATAAATAACATTTATCAGTGTCTTTAAATAGTGAAAATGCTTTTAAAATATGAGTTGTATTCTACGCTCCTATTCTTTAACACGCTGTGCAAAATATATTTTATTCATAATTAATATTTTATTAATAAATTAATCATCATAGTATAATATTAGATAATTCTTAAATTATTATTCCTTAACTAATAATAGCCATATATTAGTTATTCTTCGAAAGAAGTAAAAATGTAACGCGACTAACATTACGTTATCCTATTTCTCTCGGTGACTTTTGATCTGTTTTTTCCCGAATTTTTAATTTTTACCATTTAAACTTCAGCTTTTTCTTACACATATTTTACTTTTGAGGGAAACAAAATCTCTTAAAATATGAATCGCTTACTTTTACTTTATGTAAATTAAATATGATCATTTTAATCCTAATATTGAACACACGTAATGATTCACGTAAATATGTGTATCTAATCATTTGCACAATCAGAATGTGATATTTATTTATTACAGATCAATTGAGACTCTGTATCTTATCATTATCTGTGTATATATCAGTATCGTATGATCATTTGCATCAGTATAGTATAATCATTTGCGCAATAAGAATGTGGTGTTTATTCATTACTGATCAAGTCAGATTGTGGTATTTATTTATTCAGAATTTTAGAGTTTGTAGAATATCATTTCTAAACTAAATCTTCTTAAAGATAATTTTCTATAATCCCAGCTCTAAGAAAATGTTAAAAACGTCCGTAAGTAATTTAAACTGTATTGTTAGTTACTATTTCAGACTAGAATTATATTTCAAAGTACTTAAAAAAATTTATTTTTCCTAAACCTCTAAATTATGAAATATATTATTCGCACTGTTAGTTCCAATTTATTTTTAATTCAAATGTTATTATATTTTCTTAAAATTAAAATACAAGAAATAGATATTACCAAAAGGCAAAGATTATATTTCACTCTAGTCTGTAATATTAAGAATATAATTCAGATGATACTGTAGGAAAACTTCTTTAGAAATTCTGCCAGTTCTTTTTATTTAGGGTAAGGAGAAAGGAAAGCCTGAGTTAAACTTCTTACAAGGTAGAAGCAAAATAATAGCTAAATTAGATTTCACTAGGATATCTGCCATTTGTTAAGAGAGCCCCCTAATAAACAGTCTTGGAAGATGAACAGAACGATGCGACAATACGTGAGTTTGTTAGCATTTAACGACTCCTTATAAACAAAACAGCAACAAGACGAGAAGATGGAACAACGCGTGATTTCTGCTCTGAGATTATTGAAGCTATAAAAAGTTACTATAAGTAAAAAAAGGGAGAATGTGTAACTTACTGGACATGACTAGAGCCTTGAGTTTACTCTCATTCCTTCAGAAAATATTTACTCATATAAAATTATTTATTACGACATCTGCCATAACTGTTCCGGCATAAATTTCAAACCTCTTCCTCAGAGTTGTTGCACTGTTATAGTTTCCGGGCGTTTCGGAAACAACGATTGCAGAATTTTCTGGTCCGGAAACATATGTTTGCAGACTTCACATTTGTCATATGCAAAGATATGTTCGGCCTTCAAACTCGTCAATTGTCACACAGCAGTTCTTGATGTTTCGTCTGTTGCAAGATGGGATGCGAGTAATTTTTAGGGCCAAGAGATTCTTGGCACTACGCTCTCCATTCATCGATCTTCCATCACCATAGCGACGAGGCTCCGCCATGATGAAGTCACGTGGTTCCTGCCCTCGTTTAAGCTTTGGGCTATGCTTGCGTTTCGTTTTCCAACATCTAGCACTCACCCCATAAATTATCAAAGCTGTAAAAAAAAGGGAGCAAATTAACCAAAAGAGGAAGAACAGACCCTTTTTTGTATTCTGGGAAAAGAAACTGACTTGCTCTCTCTCTTGTGGCAGCATTAGCAAGCGTCTGGTTTCTAATTTCATAACGTACACAAATACTTTCCTACCACAAATGCAACTGAAAGAAATCGCACAGGACAAACATGATAGATTAATTAATGGATAATTCATGTTAAGTTAATTAAATATGACATACTATTTCTTCTACTGTACAAGCAAAAAAAAAAAAAAAAAAAAAAAAAAAAAGAAAGAAAGAAAGACGTCAAAGGAAAAGATTTTTTTTTTCAGTTATACTGGAACTATAAAAGTGCTGGCAGTAGAATAGTATATTTTTTAATTTACCTTTAAGGGGACTCGTACACCTTAAAACCCATAGGATCTTCGAATATGTGACTGTGCAAGAATTGGGATAACTTATTTATTTTAAAACAATCTTCCAACGTTTACAGCTGACTACATAATAGCCGCTTTCTGAAATAGTGATCAGAAAGTTTGTGTTGCCACAAATATTTTATAATTTAATCCGCTTTTTAACAAAAAATTTTCTCATGTTTGCACCTTGCGCGCACAGTTTTTAAAACATTCTGTTGCATAATTTAATTTCATATTTAATATATAGCTTTTATACATTTGGAAACTAGTGAACCAAAAATTCTAAGAAATTTATGTTAAATTTTTATTTTATTTGGAGTCGAGTTTATAAAATGTAGTTTATTAAAAAAATCTGTAATGTTTTCGTCCATAAAATTTTTTAATATTAAAATATTCATCAGATTTTAGGTTCAGTTAAAAATTAGGGCTCATATAAAGAATTCCATCCAATTTCAAGTATGTACCATTAGCCATTTTTAAAATATCGTGCGTGCAAGGTGCAAACGTGACGAAAACTTTTGTCACAGAACGGATTAAATTACAAAAATATCTGTGGCAACACAAACTTTCTGGTTACTAGCTTCCAAATCAGCTATTTATGTAATCAGCTGTAAAAAGTTGGAAGTAATTGATTTTAAAATAAATAAAATATCTCAATTCTTGCAACAGTCACATATTCGAAGGGTGTCAAGAGGTTTAAGGTGTATGAGCCCCTTTAAATAATGATACTCTTAAAAGCAGGTATTTCTTTATCTATTTTGACTCACAAAATTATATATTTTTCAATCAAAACTATCTATAAAACTACTTTGTTACATTAGTTTAAACATTCCTCATACTTCTCGCAATAAAATAGAATATTTTTTTTTTAATTTAGCTTTAAGTAATGATACTCTTTAAAAAATATTTACTTATTTGATATGCAAAAATACACATTACTCATTTAAAACTTTCTACAAAGATTTTTACATTAGTTAAATTTTTCTCACATTTCTCGCTGTGGGAGAACTATTAATTAATTATTTTCCTTCTCTAGAAATTTCTGCAAACATATGTTATGACTACAGTTAAAGACAACCACCAGTGGTCGAGTAAGACCGTTGAAAACTGGTATTATGATCTTGTTTTGAACCCAGTCCTACAGACTTGCTGAGTGGGAGTTTTTTTTTTCTTTTGTGTGTGTGTGTGGTTTCCTCTGGGTAACGTGATACGAAACAGCTTCTCTGAGTAGGTTTTCCGTGAAGGCATCCCTCTCCTTAGGCCAGATAACTCTCGAGCGCTCATATTCAAATAACCTAATCTAATTTAATATATCAGAAGACAATGAAAGTAAAAATTCGAAAATATCTTTAACAATATTAATTTTAGTATAAAAGGGGGAAGAATAAGTGTCAATCGAAGTTTCTTCAGTCTCTCATAAACAAAAACCTACAACGTTACATATTAATTTTGAAACGTGTTTTTAAATGGTGACTACCTTCTATTTTGTCAGAAGGTCAATTTTCTGCCTGACAGCAGAGCCGAATCTCGTGTGATAAAAATATTAACATCTGATTTCAGTTGTTTAAAAACTTGGGTAAATACGCATAGTTTGTCTGACATTAAGGCTTTCTGCAATTTCTTTTTTTCCAAAGGATCACTTTTCAGTTTTGCACCAAATGAATAATTCCTTTTTAGTCGAATAATTAATGATTTAATTGAACATACGATTAAGTAAATCCCAGTTTAAGATTTCCACCTAAAGAAAAACACCAATCTCCTTGAATGAATTCTTTTAATGATCTGACTGTAGATATTAGTTCACAAACAGTATTGAATTCTTATACTTGCTGCATGATTATAAAATGTTCTTGACAGTGGGATTATCTAAACTTCAAATTAAAAAAAAAAAAAAGAAATTCTATTTTGGCCAGCCCATGATTTCTCGCCAGTTTCGTGTTTTAAACAGCAATTAGCTTTAAGAAATGTATCACTTTCGAATTATCGTTTGCAAACAAAATCTAATTTGTTTTCTTCCTAAATAGAAAGATCTGTAATATGGAATTTTGATTATATTGCATATAACGGATTATGTGTAAAATATGATTTTTCTAAACTTATATCAATCATGATCATTTTTTGTCCCTTTATTTTTTCATTAAAAATTGTATTTTGTCGGGCAGTTGAATAACGTATAATTTAACTGGTCTTAATTTTTTTAATTAGTGTTTGTAATATGTTTAAAATAAAAACTTTGAAATGAATACCATAACTTAATTTTCTTCTACTCTATTTCTATAGTAGCAACCATTCTAAGTCCATTTGATCTTCATGCATCTTCCCGTGATATTTAGGCATAAGGAAATAATGCTCGTTAGGTTTTAGGTTAGATAGTGACTACCGTGCGTACCGGGAGCAATAAAAAGTAAAGCAATAGTTGTTTCCGAATTTGCTTTTTGGTTTTGAGTTTCGTCATCATCAACAACACAAGAGAATAGTAGATGCGTTTTTTGGTAATATGTCTGCATTGCAAGAGTTTTGAAGTTCTGCGAGTGAAACGCATTTATAAAAATTATTTTCTTCTACACATGGATATAATAAATATCATTTCTCGATATAACAGAAATAACTTTAATATATGCTGCATTATTTTAGATAAAATTCTTATTATAATGATTCTTTATTTTTCCACGAAAATCTGTTAAAAATAAAGCACCACTTCCTGTTAATCCTATATAGCCAATATCTAATGTCGTTCTCAAATGTGATTATATATATCCATCGTATACTCATATATGAGTTTTAAATACCAAATCTGAGAAGTTTTCGAGAGTATATATTTTCATGAAAGTTTGTTCAGAGCTTCAAGTAAAGTTTCACCTTTGATTTATCAATTTTAGCCAAATCTAATATGTTTTTCTTATTGAAAGTCTTAAATGCTAAAACTGAAAAGTTTTGGATAATAATTTAATATAAATTTTCATTAAAAACAGTTATGGGCTTCCAATAACCTGTTGTTTAGCTACCAGTTGTTTAGTTTTACTCAAAATTTAATCGATTCTTTATATGACTGTAGAAAGCTTAAATGCGGAAAACCTAAATTTTTGGAAGTTCGATATGTAAGTTATCATGGACGAAGTAGAAGTCCCACACATACAGACACAAATCGTTGTAAAAAGAGTAGAAACGAGTTGCGAAAAGCCTAATGCCTGCTAATTCACTGGAAAATCATTATCGAATGATTGGGACGATTTTTTAGTAATAATAATAAATTATAAAAAGGTGAACAAAAGTATAAATTAAGAAAGGCTCGTTTAGTCCCAAATATCACTGCATGATATACTTAGAAGCAGAGTTACAGTATAATCTGTGAATTATTTTTTTCTTTTTCTTTACCATAGCTTCTCAAAGCTTAAAAACAGTTTTAAAAGCAATTCCTTTTACTGCTGAGATTAACATTTTCCCATGTGGCTTACTAATATGTATAATTATGAAATGTTTCCATTGGGTTGAATTATTTAATTATGCAAGTAAATCGAAGGATTCTACTACGGAAGTCTTTTCAGTACAAATAATGCTTTTCAGTACTAATACTTTCACCGGCTCATAAATAGTCAGAAAGATAATTTTATAAATTTTAAATATCTGAATATCTCCAAAATATGAATGTATCAGGTTTTCTAAATATATGAATTTAAGATGTCCAAAAGTACTAGCGGGAAATTTTATTTACCACAGCCGTGATTATAGTACGGTGAATAAAATAATAACTTAGTTTAAAATATAATAAATAATAATAATAATGTAAATAAAAAATAGTATAATAATAATAATAATGGAAGTAAAATGAAAATGTTATAAATTGAATATTAACGTAAAAGGTGGGAAAAGATTATTCAGGGAAGGTAAAGTGCTCAACAAAATTAAAGGATATTGATAAAAATAAACTCAACAGTTATTTATTAAAAAATGTCTAAACAAATTCGCACTAAAGCATTACTTAATAAAACCTACTACTTTTTTCGATTGATTAATTTCAAAATATTAAGTCAAATTTATGGAAATTTAAAGATTAGGAAAAAAGATCTACCCTATTTTGCAACAAATCTTTCTTTAATGCACTTCTAATATAAATGAAAATATCTTGTTGAATTCTATGTCACTGTTTTGAAAGTGCCCCTTTCAAAATCTAAATTTCCTTCTACTCAAGTCCTGAAAGATTCAGAGATACATTTAGCATGCTTCAATTGGGTGATCTATTGCCTCCCACACATACTTAATCGGGTTCAAATTTCGTGAATAAACTGGCTAATCTCTTTTAGTGATATCCTCGAGTTCCAAGTATTCTGAACCCGATCTCGTTATAGGACCGCATTTTCAGTGTTAGCAAAGGATCTGAGCAGCTAATAGCACTCCTAAACAGCCTTATATCTGATTTCGAAACCTCATTCACATATCTATGGTCTGTTATAGCACATCCATCGAAGATATGCAACTCAATGCAGCACAAATCAATTTTTAATCATTCAAGCACAAAACATGGAAACGTTTTCATGGATATGGGATTTCTGATGATCAAGGAAAGGCAAGCTACGTGTTCCTCAATCCTTTCAGGCCAAAACAAAGCTAAAATCACTGTTCAGTCTCTATCTGAATTTGCCAGTGAGTAGCGCAAGATCTTGTTCCTCTTGGTTCCACTGAACATAATGTAACATTAACTTAAAAGCTCCTGTTTGGAGACGAAGTGACTGGAAGAAACTATTGGTTTTCTTGCATATCACCCAACCTCTTGAAGCTTTTGTACAAAAGCAAAACAGTTGTTTAGAGCTCCTGTAGCTAACTGAAGCTTTAAAATCGACTCTCTTGTAATCAAATTACGGTGTCTTTGAGACGG